AGGTCTTCTGTAGAGTTAGTATGCAGACTGCAAAAGTCAAGCATGTTTTGACATGCTTATTCTAAGTTCCAGTGTTACAGCTGTCACTCTTGAGCTCCTTGCTCCCTGCTCCTGTCAGTGCAGTAGCTAGAATGGGATCTTTGCTTGTTCTGTGCAGTGGACGCCACAGTTGAACCTGAGATGCGCTAATGAAACGTGTTTTTTTGATACAGCGAATGTGTTAGGTATCACATGTGAATGTACAGGCCTCTATTTTTCGTTAGTGATCTACATAGCAACTTTCTTTAAACATGGGTCTTTTTCAAACCCTCCTCATTTTTGTCCCGCAGGGGGTGACTATTAAAAACATCTGACAGACAAGCAGTTAACCAGTTTCCTGCTGAGATTAGTAAAATATTTAGTAGTCCTGCAACATCAAGGAACTTCAGCCCTGCAGGAAATGGTTTGATTCAACTTTTGGAGGTAGGAGGTAGGGAATTTACATTTCATTGGGATGCCCCCTCATGTTTTCAAATGGGCATGAAAAAATTTACATACCTAGCTTTTAACGTAAATTATTCTAAGGCTTAACGGTATTTTTCTTTATTTCTTAAATTATATGAATAGTTGAAGTGATTTGTGCCTTCCCTTCAGGAAAAAGAAATCTCTAGACTAGCAAAATTAGCGTCAGAATGCACAGTTACAGCATTTCATGTGGGTTTATGTGATTACAAATCAAAACTAGGAAACTTATTTTAAAATAAAAATTATTATAGATTTGCAAATTTCAAAGAAAGCCACATGTTTAATTTATGTATATTGAAATTTTTGGCCCATCTCTTATTATGGAATGATTTTTGCAAATCCATAAGAAAGAAACAAAATGTCAATTTACTGTTGATAGTGTTAAAATCCAAAACAAGTGCTATAACATTATAACAATCAAGATCAATTGCTAACATTTCAGAGTACCAAAGATAGCAAAATGATATGATTTATAAACAAATCTTAAAGTACACATAGGAGATGACTTCTGTAATCTTCTAAAATTGTCTTTATTCATTTTTCATTAATGAAAATCAAGGTCCTGTGACATTGCATAAATCACATTTTTAGGACCACATAGTAGAAACACACTGCTCTAAGAGAAAAATGTTGCCCTGTCAGTTCTGAAGATTTGTGCATTACAAGATGTAGTGGGATTTTATTACCCTAGTAATATCAGGCTAGTGGTCCTTAGAATTCTGGCTTCTGCTAATGCTTTGAATCATATGAAGCATTTTTCTGAGAAGGATCTACCCAGAATGTTTCTTGCATGTTATTTTTTTTTTACATTCACAATTTTATGAACTCTAATGTTGTTATGTCCAAGAAAATATATAACTGAAGAGAGCCATATCAAACTTGTTTTTACAAGTGCTGATGGAGTAGTGTATAAAGTGTGACTCTTTCTGAAGGCCTCTTATCTGTAGATTATTACTTTTTGTTTAATTTGGAATTGTGTCCTCAGTCAATAGTTTATTGTATTTTTCACATATTTTTATATGTTTTATTGGGCAGTCTCAGTGCAGTGGAAGTATAAACATGGAATTATTTTATATTTCTCCCGTCACCATGTTCCTCCATACGTTGTTAGATCTCCCTTTCATTTTTAAAAATTGAGTCTAGTTCACAGTAAAATGCCAAACTCTGATCCCCACCATGCAAGCCAGTCAGTTTGGCTCAAGACGCTTGGTGGAGGGTGGGTATACATTGATTTATTTTTCTCTTCCTCTCACTCCAGTGCCTTTGAATATCTGTAGTTGGTGGAGTGGGAGCTTTTGAGATGTCTTCTTCCATACTCCATCTGTATCATTTCATGGCCTTAGACTTCTAGTGTTGGGAAGCCTTGAGGGAGGATGATGCCACCCTGACCCGGTTTCGTCCACTGCTGGTTTCCATATAAATGATATTCATGGTTTTCTTCAGGCAGCATTTAGTTTCTCCCAGTTCCGTTTGTCCTTGAAGGACAGCCATATTCCTTTGGACTTTACTAGTGGTCCATGCCCTTCACCCTCTCTGTTGGTAGGTCTCTCTTTGTTTGGCCTGAGTATCTCTTTGGCTTCTGAAATTCTCTTCATTCCCTCCAAGGGCTTTGCATATGTAGGGTGAGCATATCTCCCTTCATCCTTCTTTTTGTTTTGTTTTCAGGCACACTGTGTGCCTGTTGGCTCCTTCAGCAAGCTCTCAGATATCCCCAAACTCAATGTATTTTCCTATGTTTCCAAATTGCTAGGGACGTACATTGATTTTGATCAAGATTTCTTTTCAAAGGAAGCGTGTAGGTTCTGCTGGGGGCCAATATAAGTGCTCCCACCCTGTATTAGCTGTTTCCTTAGGGCTACTCCACTCTTGAAGATGCTATATTTCTCAGAAGGGTGACAGTCAAGGTGATTCTCTCCCCTTCACTTCCCCCTTCCTAGTTCCTATGTGTATTATTTGTAGTTGGACCAGTTCTGCTGACTCTTACTAAGGGGTTGGGAATAAGGCCTAGCCCTGAATGTTGGCAGCTCTTTAGAGCTTGTTTTGTTGTTGGCCATGGTCCCGATATTGACTCTGGGGTAGCAGAAAAAGTCCCATGGGGATTAGGTTCTTTGTAAGTGATAAAAAACCCAGTGACTTAAAATAAAATATACGTTTATTCTTTTCTCATGTAAAGGTCTGTAAGTTTGCAGTCCAGAGCTAGTGTGATAGTTCTGTTCCAAAGTCTTCAGGGACCCAGGTTCCTGCCTACTCACCACCCTATCATGTCTAGGTTTCAGCCTTTGTCCTATGGCCAAAGATGGTAATGTTCATCCACATTCCAAGCAGGGGGCTGACAAAATGAGTCAAGAAGAAGAGCAAAAGGCAGACACTTGAAATCTCTTTTTCAAGTTTCTAGGAAGCTGTTACAGAGTTCTTTCATTGCATTCTACTCAGCCACATGGTATAGATCTAAGGGAGCCTGGGAAATACGAACTTTATTCTGAGCTTTCAAGTAGTCAGCTAGGACTTACTGTGAAGAATACTGGAGGACAGTTGGCCATCTCTGTCACATTTGCTGGATGCTCTTGACATTTTATTTGCAGCTATGTGCAAAGATTTATCTGTTCTATATGAGTTATATATGGTCACCAATGTTGAACGTGTGCAGGACGCATAGTATTTCATAGGGTATTGCAGGCTTACAGTTAGGAGAAAGTTAAATCTTTTAGTAAGAGTGTCTAAGCCATGGATACAAATGCAGTTTGAAGTTTATATTTTCTACTGAGATTGTCTGGTGGTATTTCTGTCCTTTGTAATTTTCATTTCCATAGAAGAGAATAGAACTGCAATAAACTGGCCGACAAGTATATTCTCTGTCAATTTGGATATTTAGGGAAGTGTCATGTCTTTCATGCAGACTTTCAGTCAATGTCAAAGGGCAATTACATTTTATTTTAAAAAGCATGTTTTATAATAGCACTATATAAGACATAATATTTTAACGATAACCATAAATGGCTGTGAACTGTAGCTATTTTAGTGTCACCATTTATTGACTTTTGCATAAACTTATTATGTGATAAGTTTCATTTTCCCCATCATATTTAGCTGATGCATAGTAAACCACACTTCCACATTCTTGAACTCATATATACTGACTGACCTTTCAGTTTGCTTAGGAGGTATAATACAGTGATTTAGAACTGTTGTCAAGTCTTTTCCCCCCAAAGTTAACTTGGAACAAATATTTTTATAATAAAATCTTTAAAGTACTTTGGAAACAAGCTTTGTATATTGCCTTGATTTAAACTCTAAACTACTTAAAGATTCCAGGAAGTTTCCCTACCTTCAGGGAAACTGACAGCAAATCCTAACACTACCAGTTTAAAAAAGTTCAGTTATTAAACAATCAGACTAAGATCCATATTGTTGTCATTTTCAGTCAGATGTATATTATCCATGACAAAATATGCCATGATCTATAATAAAGGCATATTGTGGGTATTTTTATGGAGCAGTCAGAATTAAGCCTCAGGGAACTAATACGTGTTTTAATTTTCTTCCTCACAAATTCAAGATTTTTGCCTAAGCTTTTATCCTAGACCTACACACATTTAACAAATTGAGGAAGTTATAACTAATAAAACCAATTTTTCCTATAATATAATTAGTAGGAATCCCATTCTATAGACATGTTTCATTAATTTATCACAAAAACCATGCTATTTTTGCTTTGTTAGCTTAGAATTTAAATAAACACTGCTTGAAAGAACTTTTGTGAAAGTAGATAAATGAGAGGATGGAAATTTTCCCACTGGGAAGATGGACTCACACTTTCCTCTACCCCCATTTACCCTACCTCTGATATGGAATGTCTTACATGTGGTTTTAATAATGGTCGGTTGTATTTAGCTAGAAGAAAATAATAATAGAGTAACTTTATTTTGGTCTGCACATTAGAAATCATTTTAGTTTAATTCAGTTTGATTGTAACGTCAAAATGTCAAGCAGAACATGATGTAGTGATATCTACATATATTCAACAGTGGTTTTATAGGGACTGTAATGTAGAAATAAAAGAATGTCACTACCAATTAAGTGGCAGTCACACACACATAGAGTCAAAGATGAGCGAAAATTTAGGTTGACAAAATTCCATTCGAATCAAGTGAACTTAGACTTATGCTTACCCTTGAATCTTTTATGCATTATTATGAAAAGCTGGACTGTAAAGACAGGTATAGCATTTAATTGTGAACTTTCCTACTGGCTATCATGGTGTAAAAAATTTTATAAAGCATTTCCTCAACTCTGTTAAAACTTCAAAAGTACTTAAAATGGAATTAATAGATTTTCCATAGATATTGGAAGGTCTTGATAAGGTTTTAAATATTTGAAATGTGTTCTGCATAAATTATTTGAATTCTTCTGGAAATCTAGAGCCTTTGGAAAGGACCTATTGCATCTGGCTCCCTCTTACAAGTGGTGTTCAGCAGATTGCATGTGTTCTGTTATAGGTTCACTACTGTGATAGACAAAGTGGCAAAGAGTGTGTGACCTGTCTGACATTAGCCCCTGTGCAGATGACTTTCCATGCAATTGGAAGCTCCATTGAAGCCAGCCATGACCAGGTATAATATGCCACTGCCATTTTGCTGCGTTATGGCCCAGCAGAGAAATCGGACCATCAAAATGGAAGCTATGTGCACACATACAGCTTTGCTTTCCCTAATACATTATCCACTAGCACCATTTGCTAGAATTTTGGAAAACCCAACATTTTTGTGTTAGGAAACTGATATTTTAGGAGATTTAAATTACTTTAGATTTCTAGTTTGTAGTTCATTTTAAGAATTCTCTTAAATGGAAGAAATAATTGCCCTTCAAGTTATTTTTATTTTTAATAATTACATATAAGAAGCAGGATTAGCCAAACAATGTAGATAACACTGGAGTCTCACTGTAATATACTCATTTAGTTCTGTTGAAGAGAGTTTAGTATTATAGGATATGTGTGAAATAACGTTCAGAACCATCAACTTACTCCTATAATTTGGGATATTTTTAAAATGGCTCTCCAGTGTCGTTTCTACTTTTAAAGCTTTATTTCTGAAATAAAGCTAAAAATCCTAGAAACATATTGTTTCTTAATAGCAAATTCCTTTGTTTAGATAGCAGCTTTGAAAATATATCCTGTTTATAATATAATGCATATTTTCAATTAAAATAATCATCAGATTAGACTAAACCAATGATCTAGGTCAAGGGTTTCTAGTTTGGAGTCAAAATAAATACACATACACAGTTTACAGTTTAACTAACCAGCTATGCTTTCTAAATTAACTATTCACATGCAGAACAATGGTAACCCATTTGTATATCCATTTCTCAGGATATTTGAGAACTTCTGATAGTTTTGCCTGACTAATCTTTTTTTCGTTCTGAGGATTGCCCTTGCATGAAAAGAATAAAAGAACATAGTAGTGTAAATTCTCAAACACATGATTGTCTAGCTCAAAAAAGACATTCTTAAGGGCGTACCCCTTAGTTCATAATGTCTCTGACATAGTCTCCAGTCATCATTTGTTGATTGGTGGCGAGGAATCATGTGCTTAAGAAAAAACAACTAATTAGGCAGAAAATATGAGTTTTAGGAACTAACCATAGCATGAGTTAGCTGCGGCCAACTGAATGGATCTACCCCTTTGAGACCCTGTTTTTTGGAATGTTAAATAAAGGAGTTGCTTAGGTGACTTACAAGATCCATTCCAGGGCTACCATTGTATGATTCTCTGACTGGTCTTTCTGCTCCTGGATGGATGAGCCCAACCAATAATAAACAGTTAACAGCATATTGACCTCAAAAGCAGTTTAGAGATGACCCCAGTGCTTCTCAGAGTTTGGTGCTGTTGTATGCTGTAGCTGCAAGAAAGCATGCAGCAGTAAGTACAGGGATGTAACCAAAATGAACTTACAGGATACATTTCCCTGTATACAAGTGTAACTTAGTTGTATGCTAGGCTCAAGAGAAATGATAAGAATGTTGGACGTGGTTCCTGCTGTGGTGGAGCTTGCAATCTAGCAACTTTACTACTTTGAATATTTGTGAAGAAGTCCAGCTACTGCCTTATCTCTCTATATCCATTCAGGGCAGGAACAAATGCAAGAGGAGCATGAGGTAACCATCCTACAAAAGCTTGTCCTCCTTAGGCTGAGCTAAGAAATGAAAGAGTGCTTCAGAAACCCACATCTAAGAAGAGCAACCCATTGTTAGCAGAGGTAGCATGTTGCTATGAAAGAGCACTGGGATGGGAATAGAGACTAAGATCAAACCTAGATTTGCCAAGAAGTAGATTTGCCATGTGGGAGCTTGTCTCTTTACCTCTTGGAATGTGGCTTCTTTATGAATAAAATGATTAGGCGGTTCAAGCTTATGCCCAGTCCATGTGGCAAGATATACAAAGTTTTGGGCTAGTTAGTCCATATGGTACTTATACAAATTAGGGAGGAAAAAGGAGCTTCTTCCTCAAGGCATGTTTCCGCTATCCAAATCCATAAGACCTACAGTATGAATAGAGTACCCCCGCACCCATGAGGTGTTCAGTACATAACCTACACAACTGTACATGGAGGTGTTATACTACATCTATCTGGAATGTCAGTTTTACTCAATGGTAAGTAAATAAAGACATTTTTATATTAAAGCAAATATAGTTGTACTAGATATGATGAATTTACATGCATTTTAAGGTAAAAAAAGGTTTTCAGGAAATGCATTGATCATGATCAGATAGATGGATGGAAGATAGATAGATGAGTAAATGAAGGGAGCTGTGACTGGAATGGTCATCTTGTATAACAAACTCTACTTTGGTGGCTTCCAAGGCGCAAATGGAAGTAATGGCGTGATCAGTACTCATCCTTTGAATTATTTGGCTTCCTGAGGAAAGGAAACACAGTGAACTTCTACTCCACATCTTCTAGCTTTTCTTTCTTTCTTTCTTTTTTAAGATTTTATTTATTTATTCATGATAGACACAGGGTGAGAGAGAGGCAGAGACACAGGCAGAGGGAGAAGCAGGCTCCATGCAGGGAGCCCGATATGGCACTCGACCCCGGGACTCCAGGATCGCGCCCTGAGCCAAAGGCAGGCGCTAAACCACCGAGCCACCCAGGGATCCCTCTTCTAGCTTTTCTGCATTATGTTGCCACTACCCTTTCCTCATACTGAAGGTCTAAGCAAAAAATACTTCTTCAGCATACTGAAAATATAAACTTGATCTTGTAAGTTGGAAAGGATGGACCACTAAATGTTTTCTCACCTATTTGTCAGTAAATACTGGAAAACATTTTAAAGCAAGAAAAATTGGGACACATGGGTGGCTCAGTGGTTGAGCGTCTGCCTTTGGCTCAGGGCATGATCACAGAGTTCTGGGATTGAGCCCCACACTGAGCTCCCTGCAGCGAGCCTGCTTCTCCCTCTGCCTGTGTCTCTGCCTCTCTCTGTGTGTCTCTCATGAATAAACAAATAAAATATTTTAAAGAAATAAAGAAAGATTATAATAATTTACAAAATGTCTCTATTCTTAATTCATTTGAGCCAATGCAATTGAACAAACTATTCTGAGAAAAAAAAATATGTAAAATTTAGAGGCAGTCCTTCGTTATGAAACTCACATGGTTCTTATCTGTTAGAAAATAAAGGTGAGAAATGGAAGAGCTCTCTAGCCTTGAACATTTACAGCTTACCATACATTTTTAGATTTAATTCTAGGAACTCAGTAAAATAAAGAGTAAATGTTTTATACAGTGTATTCACTCATATCTTAAGGAGCAAGAGGACAAGGACTATTTTAAATACCTATCAAAGGTCCATACAGATCTACAGAATGGTGGAGAGAGATGCAGTATCACCTGTATGCTGATGATGTCTGAATGTATGGAACTTTTAATTCTCGCGCCCTTCCCACCCGCCAAAAAAAACTCTGCTTCCTCCCTCCTCCCCTGTCTTTTCCTTTTAACCATCCAGGGAAATGACACCACCAAGCTCCTTGGAGCATCTTTGCCTCATCTCTCCTCCTCAAATGCCACATCCGGTTCCAGTATCCCTTCCTCTGAATTACATCTGTTACCTGACCACTTTTCACCACCTCTGATGCAGCCATTGTAGTCGCTATCATGTTTTTTTTTTTTTTTAAGATTTATTTTTAAGTAATCTCTATACCCAACATGGGGCTCAAACTTACAACCCCAGGATCAAGAGTCTTATGCTCTGCTGACTGAGCCAGTCCTGTTTATCGCAGACAATTGCAGTTGTCTTTAGACTGGCTTCGTTTATTCTACTTCTATTCCATTGTGGTATATCTTCCACATAGTAGCCAAAAATATTTTAAGTTAATCAGATCACATTATTCAGCTGCTCAGAAACTGCCAGTGACTTCTCATCACACCTACTATAAATCCAAAAGTTTTTGTTATGACATGTAAGTCCCTATGTGATTTGGCTCTCTCCACCTCTCCAATTTCAATTCCTGCCATCTCCTTTTCACTCAGTATCCCAGTCTTACTGGCTTTGTTACCAGTTATATCATGACAGATGAAAGAAACCAGACTCAAAAGGCTACATACTATAGATTCAATGCATAGGACATTGTGGGGAAGACAGAACTATAGACATAAAAAACAGATCATTGGTTGCCAGGGCCTGAAGAGGGATTGTCCATAAATTGTCACAACAATTTTTGGGAGTGATGGAAATGTACCATATCTTGATTGTGGTGATAGGACATGACTGTATGCATTTATTAAACTTACCGAACTGTATGCTAAAAAGGGTAAATTTTACTGTATTTAGATTATACCTCAATAAACCTAACTTAAAAAAAAAAGCCAGATTCATTCCTTTATCAGTGACCCATATATGGAATTGACCCCAGGGAAATGTGGAAGCATGACGTCGTCCCCTTTCCTGCCTTCTCTGAATATGTTGGATCCACCTTAGAGTGCACTAAATTGAACTTAGAGCCTGGTTTAGAGTTTCTCCGAATGCTGGTGGTTAGTTAAGGCCTGCTTCAGGCTCCCTAGGATAATTATTAATCTCCAAAAAGTGGTCTAAGCCTGCCTGACTTCAGGGAAAGGATCTGTGTTTCCCATCTGGGAACTCTGAATTTCATCCAGGCAGTGGACCAGTCATTCAGGCTGATTGCTGGCTGGGAGTCCCTGCAGTGTCTGAGTGAAAATGTTCTACGTATGTTTGCTTTATTCATCACAGCAAATGTGATACTATAAATTTGTGTTAGTTTGGAATATTTAACTGTCGAGAATAAAAACAGTTTAAATTTCTGGATACTGATTTTCTTTTCAAATACTTTCTAGCAAACATTTGATAACAACTCTCTGGGAGTATTGCACTAGATACTAGAACATACAAAGATAACTTCTTCTTGTCCTCCTAATAAGCTAGATACTAGCTTAATGTAGTCTTCAGTGAGCTAATCATCCTGTGAAATTTAAAATCTGCGTATCACATGGTGGTTTCAATGAAGAGCAATCATTCTTACATGTAAGTTGAGTAAAGAGTGCATTTAATTGGTAAAACGGAGCTAGTGAGGATTTTGCTCTATGTTTTTCAATAGATCCTAGTTGGAAATTAAATATATATTGGTCACTGGATATTATTGAAAACAAAATCTTTTGTGATAGTGCAGGAAGTTTTTTGGAATCTTCTAGCTTGGTGTAATTCACCAAATATTCCTCACTCTCTCCTTCTGGCCTGACACTTTCTACATTTTTCTTCATCACTCTTGGATGTCACTGAGTACTGCTTACTCTGTGTCTGTTACTTATATCAATCACTATCTAGGCAGCCTCAAAGTCATAAACTTCCTTCCCTGTCTTTTTTTTTTTTTAATTTTTTTTTTTTTTTAATTTATGATAGTCACAAAGAGAGAGAGAGAGGCAGAGACACAGGCAGAGGGAGAAGCAGGCTCCATGCACCGGGAGCCCGATGTGGGATTCGATCCCGGGTCTCCAGGATCGCGCCCTGGGCCAAAGGCAGGCGCCAAACTGCTGCGCCACCCAGGGATCCCCTGTCTTTTTATTTTTATTCAGCTTTATTTAGACTGCATTATTAATCTCATAATCTCACCAATACTGGGTAAACAGAGTAGATTAGTTAAAATACTATAGCTTAATTTCTAGTTAATAGTTTTATCACTGCCTACCTCAGTTCGTTCAGGTTACTTTGGAACTCACTTGCTTCATATAAAATAAAAATAAATCAACCATCTAACTAAGCACTAGCTCTCCAATGAAGTGTAATATATGTAAATTACTATTTGATGGAATGTGACTTCTAGTCAACACAAAATGAGATTATGGTAAGAGTAAAGGACAATGCATACGTAGCACAGTACTTAGAATTTATGAAATGAACAGTTCTACAACAGAAAAGAAACAGCAACCAAACTTATGTTAAATGTGTCTGCTGTGTACTAGATACTGTGCTAAGCCCTATATGCATTATTTTGCTTAATTCTCATAATAATTCTGTGAGGTATAAACTATAGTGTTTATATATTTGCTTCATTTGCTATATTACCTGTAAGGGTTTATGTCCTTAGCCAATCAAGCTGAGTTGATCCAGTGTGTGTGCTTTGACTGGAATTCTAGGCAGACCTCTCAGTGAAAGGACGACCATGAAGTGTAACATGCCACAAATCTAATGGGTATTTTGCTCTACTTTTGATTAAATTCTGCTCATAGTTTTTTTTTCTGATTAATTAAAAGTCTCTTTTCCTTAGTAATTATTCCATAATATCTTATAGTTGTATACTAATTTAAAACTAAGAAAGAAAAAGCCTTCAAACATGTTAAATATATATTATCACAACAATAATACATGGATTGATTATAGACTATATTCAGAACTTTTGTAGTACTAGATGGTCTTAAATGATAGTACATATAGTCCCTTTCCCTTGAGGTAATTGTAGTCTAATGGAGTGTGTCAGCTAGGATGCTTTTGGCTACAAGTAACAGAAAACCTGACTCATGGCTTAAACAATGAAGAACCTTGTTATCTCCCATAATAGGAAGTTCAGAGGAAGGGTGAACTCCAGGGTTGTTGGTTGATAAAGTAGCTCAGCGATGTCAACAAGGACTCAGGTTATTTCATTTCTTAGCTCTGCTTCACCCTCTGGCTCATGGAAAGATGAGCCACATTCTCTGTGTCATTGCCAATGTAGCCACATTTAAAAGGAAATGAGACATCTGATCTTACTGGTCTCCTTTTAGGGGGCAAAGACATCTATATTGGGAACTTCTTCAGCCATCTTTCCTTCATGGTGTAGGCTTCGATTGGGTCATTCACAAGCCCATCTCTAAACTAGTCACTATCAAGGGAAATGAGATCGCCATGAGTTTATTTTTATTTTTAAAAGATTTTTAAGTAATCACCCAACATGGAACTCCAATTCATGACCTGAAGATCAAGAATCACATGCTCTACTGACTGAGCCAGCCAGGCGCTCCAAGATCATCATGAGGTTTTTTACTGACTGAGCCAGCCAGGCACTCCAAGATCATCATGAGGTTTTTTTGTTTGTTTGTTGTTTGGGTTTTTTGATTTATTTATTTGAGAGAGAGAGCAAGAGAGCAGGAGGAAGGGCACAGGGGGAGAGAGAATCCTGAAGCAGACTCCCCACGATGACACAGGGCTTGACCCCAGGACCTTGAGATCATGACTTGAGCCAAGATCATGACCTGAGCTGAAATTAAGAGTCTGTTGCCTAATTAGCCAACTGAGCCGCCCAGATGCTCCAACATCACCATGAGTTTAAATGCCCGGGGTAAAATGGTTATTGAAGACTCAACTACAGGAACTACTACATGAGGAATTAAATGCCAAATATATCATTTTAAATTTTCTAGTGGACTCATTAAAAAAATATAAAAAGCAGGTAAACTTGATCTTAGTAATATATTTTATTTAGCCCAATATATCTAAAGTATCACTTCAACATATAATCAACTTTTAAAATTATTGAGGTATCTGGCAGCCCGGGTGTCTCAGTGGTTTAGTGCCTGCCTTCAGCCCAGGGCGTGATCCTGGAGACCTGAGATTGGGTCCCACGTCAGGCTCCCTGCATGGAGCCTGCTTCTCCCTCTGCCTGTGTCTATGCCTGTGTGTGTGTGTGTGTGTGTGTGTGTGTGTGTGTCATGAATAAATAAATAAAATCTTACAAAAATAAAATTATTGAGGTATTTGACCTTTCTTCATACGTCTCATTTTGGACTAGCCACACTTCAGTGTTCAATAGCCACATGTGTTTTGCATTATGATTTGCTCCCTGCCTTTGTCTCCAGTCTCATCCTTCACCATTTGCTCTGAAGCTAACTTCTACCCATACTTCATGCTCTGGCAGTTTTGATGTTCCATGTCTCATGCTGTCTTGCATCTGTAGCTTTGTACCTCTTCCTTCTGCTTGGGCATTCTCTCCTTGCTCATAAGAGGAACTTTAATTGTTGTATCATCAGATCTAACCACACTGTCACTCCAGTCAGAACGCTTTCCCCAAACAACTTTCCACATTATTGTTGTTACACTTATCAAACTGTCTTCCCATTGTTTTTCATATTAGTCTACCCCGCTGGGCAGTGACTTCTGTGAAGAACAGGACAGTGTCTTATTCACCTTAATATTCTCCAGGTGTATGCTCTTACGCAGAGGAGATGCTCAATTCATGTTTATAGGATGGGATTGAATTGAATTTCGAAGACAATGAGATTAACTTGGATTTGGTAGAACTCATTTGGTAGAATTAGTGAGAGAAATACAACCTTTGTCCCATTATGCTTTCTCTCGTGGTGGCCTTCTAAGGACATTATTTGTGAAATCATTCTGGTACCCGCATGTGTAGACCTCAGAGTATTTATATAGTCTGAACATACGTATCTGTCACTAGGAATCCATCATATATTTCCATTAATTCTCTCACTGATCTGTTTGTAACCTTTAATTTGTCTAACGTAACACACATATGCCTACGACCTTCTCAGTGTCCTGAAAGTTCCAGGGCCTGCCTCCTGATTCTAGCATTCCATAGTGTAGTACACAAGTCAGTATCCACTGAATCCTGTCATTTCGTATTCTGAGACTGCAGTCCTCAGAATCTAAAGAGGCATGAACTTCATAGGTTTGAGCAATGATTACCTAAGACAAGTAAAGCTTTTTATTAATATGATAAGGACACCCTTAAGTGGTATTATATAATAACAGACCCCATAGCATCATCCCAGAGGTATCTGTAATAGAGTTCTGGCATTCTTTGTATTACATAAATTCAACGTGAGTTTTGGAACTTTAGCTGTTTTACTTGCTCCCCATATCAAGCCACAGTGCTGAGTGCCATGGGGTGTTGACAGAAAGGGTACAATCACTGCCATTGGCAGCCTCTCTGGGATCCTGTAGCTGCCAGAATTCAAAAGGTAACTTGATTTTCATTTACTTTTTATGAAACAGGATGCTAAGAGAGATATTAGAAAGGCACATCAACTTTAATGTTTGAGAAATTGCTTTCACATTTCCTGATTTTTTTTCATATTGAAATATTTCAAAATATTTCCCCTACTTGAAACATACCCCATGAGTATAGGACTAAAATTTCTTCTTCTGACTTTTAACTTTATCATATGACATTCTCGTTTTACACAAATATATATTATAGTTAAGGAATTTAACCATATCTTTTTTTCTTTACATTTTATGTTTCAGTAATTAGCCCAATAGTTTAGTGTTTTTTGCTTTTGTTTTTTGTTTTTTGTTTTTCTTTGAGTTATAATTGACATATAACACTGTATTAGTTCTAAGTGTACAACATTTTAT